TCTGGGAGGCTGTAAGTTTCAGGAAATGTTCCCAACTAATCTGAAACTTCAATTTGTCAAACTCAGCCCCCCGTCACTCGTGGTTGCCACGTACTGCCCCATGAAAATTTTTGGCGGGAAAATGAATAACTTCGGAACCAGGGAAGCTGGGAGGCTGAAAACTTCAGGAAATGTTCCCAACTCACCTACAACTTCAATTTATCAAATTCAGCCCCCCTCCCCCGCCATGCGTGGTTGCCACGTACGGCCCCGTGAAATTTTTTGGCAGGAAAGTGAATAACTCCGGAACGAGGGAAGCTGGGAGGCTGAAACTTTCAGAAAATGTTCCCAACTTATCTGCAACTTCAATTTATCAAATTCAGCCCCCCGACTTGCGTGGTTGCCACGTACAGCCCCGTGAAAGTTTTTGGCGGGAAAATGAATAACTCCAGAACCAGTGAAGCTGGGAGGCTGAAATTTTCAGGAATGTTCTCAACTCATCTACAACTTGAATTTATAAAATTCAGCCTCTGCGTAGTGGCTACGCACGGCCCCGTCAAATTTTTTTGGCTGCAATTTGGGTAACTCGGGACTGAGAAAGCTGGGACCTTGGGATTTCAAGGGAATGTTCCCTGTCCAACTGTAGCGTGGATAATTAAGTATAGCGTGAATAATTAAGTTCCCGAAATTCGAGGACCAGTATGTACGAGAGGTTTCTAGCTAGCGGAATTTCGAGTAATCTCATTACAGCACGAAACACTGCAAAAACGCATGATCGCACGGGGCCCCTCAGTGCGCGTCGCCAATGATTTTATTTTGCAAAAACTTTTGTAATGTTGCATCATTCTTGTTATTAAAACCCCCATCTTTTTCCGATTACCATTTACTGGACGTAGAAATGCCACGACCTTGTGATATGTGCAGCTTAAAAAATAGCCGCAAAACCAATGGCTTAGGGCTATTTTTTAAGGTCCTCGAAATAAGTCAACTCTCCTGATGAGAAATTGATCCTTGGTATTTGAGTAGTAAATGAAGGAACATAATCAAAGCTTACTTTCTCCGTAAATCGAAAGCGGGCGTTTCAGTCGCTTGTCTTTTCGTGGACCGCGTTCCTTCTGTACTGCTGTAATCACTTATTTTGTGTCGCACAGGAGATAAACAACACTATTTACCACCTGCGTACAAGCAAGCAGTGAAATAGGTCCTCACTGTCTGCAGTATTTTAATGGATGATTTACTTGCTCTGGTGACTTGTGCGTCAGGCCAAAATGCGAATCTTCTAAATCGAAAACGAACAAAATTGAGAATTCGAAATTTTGAAAATCTAAATTGTCTAGCATTAGGTCTTGCCTTAATCCATACTAGTTCTTGTGAGACTGGGAAACAAGCAATCACAAGTCGCAACCAGAACTGCGCAAAGGGAGCAGTTGCACCCATGCGCCATTATTGGTTTTGGACAGCACGTCGAGTGGCTAATCGCCTTACAGCTTACTGCTTTTTCAGTGTCTCCACTGATTTCTACTCTGTGCTCTATTACTGTAAACGGCCTAAAGACGGTGATTTCGCGGGTCTCTGCTTATGCTGCACCATACGAACTCCAGCTACTTTTATGCGTTTTCGCGCACACCATCACAAATGAGCATTTTGGTGAATTCGTGTGTGAGCTCGTCTAAATATGTGTATTTTCCGTACAGTATCCCAGTTCTAAAGTGTGATTATCAGAAAAATGGGAGCATAATCCCCTGCTACATGCAGACTTAAAAAAGTTAAATTGTTTTTCACTTCGTTCTGTATCTTTTGTCTTGGAAGTCCAGAGAAAGGCCGGCAGTTTTTGAAAAGGGTGTGCTCGCTCAGTGGCAACGACCAGACAAAGTAGAGTATGCATGGGGATGTCACACGGATCACACAGGTTATAACTGCTCCAACATGTAAGTGGAGCGCGGGGACCGACAATTCATCTTGTGCAGCACACACTTTCAGCAGTTGCCGGCTTTTTTTGCACGACTTCCGTACTGTGCTAAAAACGTGAAGGATTTGATATCAAGATTTAGCACCATACCAGCACAACCGTAGCATAAAGCACGATCAGGCTGTATATTATCACCCGAAGAGTAGAGTAAAGAATCATCCTGATGTGGCAAAAAGAACT